AGAAGAGCAACTAAGATGATCAAAGGCCTGGAGACTAAAACATACGAAGAATGGCTGCAGGACTTGGGTTTGGCTAGTCTAAAGAAAAGAAGAAATAGGGGAGATATGATAGCAGTATTCCAGTATTTGAGGAGCTGCCACAAAGAAGAGGGGGTCAAGTTATTCACCAAAGCACCAGAGGGCAGGACAAGAAACAATGGATGGAAACTGATCAAAGAGAGAAGCAACCTGGAATTAAGGAGAAACTTCCTGACAGTGAGGACAATTAACCAGTGGAATAACTTGCTCCCAGAAATCATGGACACTCCATCACTGGAGATTTTTAAAACGAGGTTAGACAGTCACTTGCCTGAAATGATACTTTTGGATGTATCATTTGAGTGTGTGTCACATATTATATTTAACTATGTGACACACACTCAAATGATGTATTCAAAAGTTTTCTTTACCTCAAAAAGAGTATTCTGGTTTTTTTTTGGACTTATCACCTCCTTTCCAGGGTATGTTAAAGTTCCTTAAGATTCTATTCCATTCCATTCCATTCCATTCTATTCTATTCTATTCTATTCTATTATAACCTGGTTCACAAGAAGTTTCTTGTGTGCTGTGTCTTGTCTGTTCAATCCTAAAAATTCACAATATTCACAACAGTTGAGTCTCCAAGCTGAATTCCATCCAGCATCTAAGACAAAAATGTGTGCGTTGCTTTGGATCTCTGCCTGTCATAATTAAATTATGGCAGGACATATATATGATACTAATTAAGAAGTACACAATATTGATTCTAATTATAAAAACAATTTTGATTCTGATAAGGACACTCTAGCACTGCATTTTAGGAATTGCAACTGGATAATTTTTAAAACTTATGTGAAGAAATAGTAACTCTCACTAATATTCTATGACCAAATTCATGGTAAATATTTAGGGAATTTTAAAAGCAGAAGGATAAAACTGGTTGGATGACATATATAGTTAATAAATTATTATTAATAATATTAAATCCAAGAGGTATTTTTCAATTATGCAATTTTTAAATCAGGATTATTTGTGTCAGATAAAAACACAAGACTATTATTGGGTTTTCATAGTGTTCTTAATTTAATAAAACTGGCAGTTAACTAAGACAAATTTAAAAAGAAACAATGTCTTTAGAAAATCAGCAGCTTTGGCGGCTTTTTTTTTATTTTTTAAAGCCAGTTATTTATCTTTTCGCTTCAGAAAACCACAAAAAATAACCACAATGCTGTGAATAATCTTTGGAACTTCAAAGCCTGCATGCCCAGTGTAATGTTTTAAGGTCATTAAACTACAGAGCTACTATAATGAAAGTCAATAATTACCCAAGCTCTTTAAAACCAATGCCAAACATTTTGTCTATGATTAACAATAATAAATCCCTCCTCACAAACAGAATGCTTTTTTTCAACTTCAGTAGCCACTTGTTAGTACCTTGAGCTACAACTGAACATTACTGTCTTCTAAAGAAAAGGACAATAGTATTCTCTGTATGCTTCAGTAACAAATTTGTCTGAAATGTTATAGGATTTCCTGCCTGAGCAGGGGTTTGGACTAGAAGACCTCCAAGGTCCCTTTCCAACTCTATTATTATTATTATTATTATTATTATTATTATTATTATTATTATTATTATTATTATTATTATTATTATTATTGTTATTGTTATTGTTATTGTTATTGTTATTGTTATTGTTATTGTTGTTGTTGTTGTTGTTGTTGTTGTTGTTGTTGTTGTTAAATAAATTTGACTTACACATTATAGTTTACATTGGATTCAAGAATGCGAAACTATAAGAAGTGAATCTATTTGTGTTGCCTTCTCATAGAAACAGTTCCAGGACTGGATGGATCTTTCTTTCTCCCATAATCCTGTGTGTTGCTACAATTGTTTCTAATCATCTAACTGGCCAGAGCTGATGAGAACTGTAGTCCAAATTATCTAACAAAGTCAGTTTGCCTATCTCTGAGCTCAATAGGTTGCTACACAAATTCATTTCCCACTTGCTACCCGTGGAAACCTCCATTGAAAGAAAACAGTTAAATATGACCCTATATAAAGTTTCAAGAGACAATTTAGGTCACCTGGAACAAGACCTTTGCTCAGTGCTGCTTTCTAAATACATAATTTAGTTGTAATGCTGTTATCTGCAGTGACATATAAGTAAGTAAACATAGTCAGCTCTTAGGTTATAGTCCACTATCCCAAAATAAGAAAAACCAGATAATAGCAGTTAGCTGTATTTGGAACAAGAATAACAGGAAGAAACTGGATAAAATGACTGAAAAAACCATTCTTCTGGGTGGTAAGAAAAGGGATTTGACAATGCTGAAAGGGAGTAAAGATGGCATCAAACCTAAAAACGGTCCCTAGGATATGTAGCAAAATTAGACTCTACCATGCAACTAGAGATCAAATTCCCAACATACGCTGGATCATGGAGAAAGCTAGGGAGTTCCAGAAAAACATCTACTTCTGCATTGACTATGCTAAAGCCTTTGATTGCGTGGAGCACAACAAATTGTGGCAAGTTCTTAAAGAGATGGGAGTACCAGACCATCTTATTTGTCTCTTGAGAAACCTATATGTGGGTCAAGAAGCAACAATGAGAACTGGACATGGAACCACTGATTGGTTCAAAATTGGGAAAGGAGTCCAGCAAGGCTGTATACTGTCGCCCTGCCTATTTAACTTATATGCAGAGCACATCATGAGAAAGGCAGGGCTAGATGAATCAAAAATTGGAATTAAGATCGCCAGGAGAAATATCAACAACCTAAGATATGCAGATGATACCACTCTAATGGCAGAAAGTGAAGAGGAACTAAAGAGCCTCTTGATGCGGGTGAAGAAGAAGAGTGCAAAAGTTGGCTTGAAACTCAACATTAAGAAAACCAAAATCATGGCATCCGGCCCTCTCAATTCCTGGCAAATAGATGGGGAAGAAATGGAGGTAGTGACAGATTTTATTTTCCTGGGCTCCAAGATCACCTCAGATGCGGACTGCAGCCAAGAAATTAAAAGAATCTTGCTCCTGGGGAGGAAAGGTATGGCAAATCTAGACAGCATACTAAAAAGCAGAGACATCACCCTGCCAACAAAAGTGCGTATAGTCAAGGCCATGGTTTTCCCAGTTGCAATGTATGGATGTGAAAGTTGGACCATAAGAAAGGCTGAGCGACAAAGAATTGAGGCCTTTGAACTATGGTGCTGGAGAAGACTCCTGCGAGTCCCTTGGACTGCAAGGCGTTCAAACCAGTCAGTCCTAGAAGAGATCAACCCCGACTGCTCTTTAGAAGGCCAGATCCTGAAGTTGAAACTCAAATACTTTGGCCACCTAATGAGAAGGAAGGACTCACTGGAGAAGGGCCTAATGCTGGGAAAGATTAAGGGCAATAGAAGAAGGGGACGACAGAGAATGAGGTGGCTGGATGGAGTCACTGAAACAGTAGGCGTGAGCTTAAATGGACTCCAGAGGATGGTGGAGGACAGAAGGGCCTGGAGGAGTGTTGTCCATGGGGTCGCGATGGGTCGGACACGACTTCGCAATTAACAACCCAACAGATATACTCTGGGAAATTCTAGGGAATGGCTATGCTAAATCTCTTCCTCAGACTTCAATCCAGCTTGTCAATCTTGTCTCATTCTCCCTCCTTGGAATATGGTCCCTCCTTCCTGGGAAAGTGCCGCTTCATGGTAGTCCATAATGCCACCTCCTCCTTCAGAGACACAATCCATCATACATATAAGTCTACAGTCTATAGGTGAGTCAAAATTTGGCAGCCCAACTTCTCTTTGTTTCCAATAGATTTTTTAGCAGTTTTAATTATTGGCATTTAGTTAAGTCCAAACGGCTTGTTTTAATTTTTGAAGTTTTAAGTCCAAGGGTGGGGGGGGTTGGGGGGATTTCCCAAGAACTTCATTGGTTTTGGCTGGATCTGCTGGGGTATGTTGTGAGTTTATAGGCATGCCAGGAAATACAGCAGGTTCAAAACAAGAAGAAACCATGCCAAATATATAGTGAAGTCCATATGTATGGTAAAGTGAGATAGGCCATAGCTAATGGCTGAAAGCAGTATTATGCAAAAACAGCTGAAGCTACAATCTTCCTACACCACCTTACCAAGTACACTTGAGGCCTGCTGAGGACAGCAGTTCCTTAGTTTTCTAATTATTATTGCACAACAATTATACTTTACCATGTGATTTGCAATATGGATTCCGCTTTACAGAATTACTATTGTTGATGTAAAGATGTGAAACAAATATCTTATGCTGCTATATACCATCTTGCGGGGGGGGGGGGGAGAAAGGACATCGTAAAACCTAGTTTCACATTTACCAAACTTTGGTTGCAATAGACAAAATTTGATTCAGAAATCTCCTTGAAGTGATGGACAAATCAATTGCATCCAAAAGATTTTTTTGATGTGGAAGTTAAATCTGAATTAATTTCATCCTAATGATCTGATATCCATGATGATTTATGTTATTTATGTCATTTACATCATTAAGAGAAGGATGAGGGGTGACATGATAGCAGTGTTCCAATATCTCAGGGGCTGCCACAAAGAAGAGGGAGTCAAGCAATTCTCCAAAGCACCTGAAGGCAGGACGAGAAGCAATGGATGGAAACTAACCAAAGAGAGAAGCAACTTAGAACTAAAGAGAAATTTCTTGACAATTAGAACAATTAATCAGTGGAACAATTTGCCTCCAGGACTTTGAATGCTCCAACACTGGAAGTTTTTAAGAAGAGATTGGACAACCATTTGTCTGAAGTGGTATAAGGTTTCCTGCCTGGGCAGAGGGTTGACTAGAAGACCTCCAAGTTCCCTTCCAACTTGATGATGATGATGATGATGAAAATGATGTCATTTATAAAACAGTGAAGTAAACATGTATTTTATATGCGATAATATGCTTTGAAATGTGGAACAATATGAATAGTTGCTCAAATCTCTTTTGCTAGGATTCTTACCTGGAACTCTTTTGGCCCAGTTGATCATATGAACCAGTTCTCGATCAGCAAGGTTGGTCAGCAACGTCATCATTGAGGCTTCGTTGAAAGGCCTGTTAGGGTCATATTCTGAATAGACAATAGGTGGTTCTGCCTCTAGCAAAGCAGAAACCATCTGATCTACAGAGAGGGAAAGAGCTGGACTGTTTTTTTTGCCATGCTTGATCATTAATGGACTTGGCCAAAGATTTGGGCTCCTTGCCTCTGCCACTGTGCCCACGTTTCTGCTATCGTGTTCTTCTCTTTGACGTTTGTGCTTCAGTATTCGGCCACCTCTGCGATCTTTTCTTATGCCTGGAAGAAGATATAAATACAAATAACATATATTATCCACTGACTTCTCTAATGTGACTAATGTTTATTTAAGCCGACCTGCATTTAACAACTATCTGTTCATAGCATCAAATCTTACGAAACTATCGGCATCTTTATAGAATACAACAAGCAGCATGCAGAAATAAAATATAGGGTGTTAACCTGGTTGAGTAAAAAGCATTTTATAGGAGAATTGTGACACAAGATTAATTGCAACATTGTAAAGCACTGTGAAGAGCCTAGCCCATTACAGGAATAAAATACCTTGGGGCAGTTCTGAAATAAATTATTTGATACCAATTATTTGTTCTGTAAGATTAGAAGTGTCATAGCGACGTTTCGATGAAATCACATTCATCATCATCAGGCTTGTGCTTTTAGCTTTGTGCTACCAAGCTTTCGTCAAGTGCACTTGACATCATCAGGGTTAAAAAGGCAAATGCTGGGAAGGTTTATATACAGTCGTTCAACGCCTGCTTCCGGCTCCTGGAGCGCGTAACCGGCCCCAGATGATCCTTCCGCACTTCAAGCGTGCTGCCTGCTTTGATGTCCGGCTCCTTTTTCTGAATTCGCGTCCTTTTGAGTGCTGTTACATTCATTATCAGGGTGTTAGGCAGATTCGATGGTAAGGCATCCTTGCTTCCCCTGCATACGGCTCCCCCGCTGCTATATGTGTGTCTATCTCTGAGGAGTGGGGGGGAATGTAAGTTGTTTCCT